TACACCTGCATGCAAGTGGATGACTTATTACGGCCGGCACGTGGGCCCACCAGTGGACACCCCTACACCCCAACCGCCCCCCAGTGATACGTACAATGCTCCGCCGGATGTTAAAACTGAAGTTACAGGACAGGATCCCTGACACGGAAGCTTTGAAACGAACTAGAGTTCTCAGCGTCCACGCCATGCCGAGTCAACTGTAATTACGCTGGAGCCGCCACCTCTTTAAGATGGGTAGTGAGCACCTACCAAAAAACTCGTCTATGGAGATGTTGTCGCAGGTGCTCGTCAACAAGTAAGTCAAACCCGCCGCCACAAAGACACTTTAAAGCGACCATAAATCAGCTCAAAGCCCTGCGGTGACCTTGTTGCGGCTAGTCAGTCAGAGTATGTGCTCTGAGCGCTACAACCACCAGGTCGAATCCCATGTTGGAAGGAGAAGACAGATGGCACCAGAATAAGTGGTTTAATGTATACGAAGCTCAGAGTTGTCCTCTCAGGCAGCGGTGCCCACTGGCCAGCACCAGCCCTGTCTTGGCCACTGGCCACTTGAACGCACCTTCCCCGTGCAACCACAGTCTAAGCCACTGGGACACCATCCCTCGGCAAATGCAACACACACCGATTGGAGACCAATTGAGCCTGGCCCACGAGCCTACAAAAGCGGCTGCCACCACTATCTCAGGGACTCTCAGGCATGACTGGACGCAGTCAGCACCAGACCTGGCGTCGCCTGTGGCCACTGCCGCCTGAAAGGACATCTCAGGGTTCTGTGCACAATAAACCCCTCATTCTGGTTCCTTCTGCCCTCTCTTTCCAATCTAAGATTTGACTTGGTAATTATAACGCTCCGACTACACACATTCTCATGGCTGTGCCGCCACAACCTCGCACAGGGCTGACGGACCTGGAGAGAGGCAGTAATGAGTGAAGCGGCACCGTATGATGACAACCGGGTCGCCGTTGCCAAAGCCAAGGGAAAGACTTTCAAGTCTCAAACGTCCCTGACCCGCAACGTCAACATCCAAACCCCTCCTCAGATGGCTGTGTTGTCGACAGACATTCCGCTTCCGGACATCTCTGGACCCAGTGCACCAACAGCCCGGCAACCCTAAATCCTGCCTTCCCGGCCGCCCCTGCTCCAAACTCTACGGCGCCCACCCTTACCACCAATGCTTGAAATCCACGTGCTCCACCGCCATCTCCATCATCCCTGCTGCAACCTCTGCGACGACGATCACCACAGCTCCCACTGCCGCCACCGATCAAAATGCCCCAGACCACCCATCAACCGCCACTGCCACCTCCAGCTGTGGACTCAGTCTCCAACCCAATCAACCTTCCAACGACCAGCGCGCCCACTACTAGCAGCACCACAACTGGCGACTGACTTAACATCCGTCAACCTATCCTGCCCACACTGTCTCCGCACGTCTACTTCACGCAACAGTCTGGCCGGTCATTTGAGAATCCACCGCATAGAGGCTGGCGAACCGGTTTCTGGAGCACCAACACACACCAGACGCCGTAGCCTCAACTGCCAGCACTGTCCTCGCACATTCAGCCATTGCATAGGCCTGATCGATCACAAACGCCTCCATGAAAACATTCGCTAAATCACCGTAGACACGATCACATCAGCACACACTCCCCCATCAGCACACGCACCACACATGAACACCTCCATCACATCACACCAAAACACAACACCGAGAAGAGCACAGCCATGCATGAGCCAACACCCAATGATGACTTCAAAGAACCCAGGACTAACGTCAGTCGGAGTCGTCCTCACATCAGTAGATAAATTCGCCTTCTCATGAGACGTTATCTGAAAAAAGGTCAAGATCAATTATAAAATTACAAGTCCGGTCCTCAAAACTAGCCAGATCTTCAGTCGGCTACAACGCATGGACGGTCCGTCTGCTATTTCACACAAATGCGGTGACAATACGGAGGAAACTGCAGCTACGAATGCAACTTTATAATAGGATTGAACTTAAACTACTTTAGTGGGAAGCTTCTGTTGGACGACACCCCTCCTCTACACCAGTCCTTGCCGCATATCTGACTAGAATTTCGGCTTGTATCGCATACCATGCCAAACTGCTCCACGCTCCGTTGACTTTGTAAAGCGCTGCATATAAATCACCATAGCCCGTTAGCAGTTTAATGGGAGGCCGCTAGGTTTAGTGACATTAAACTCAACTCCCTCGAAAGCTTTGGTGTTCTTCCGTTGTTTCCCAAGGGAATGCGTTCGTGTGAACTGATGCGGTCTCTTTGATTTAGACTCCGTGTACATCCCCCCCTCCGCGTTCGGAAGCAGGGTCGTGGAAGTGTTCGCTTATTTCAGTTAGTAGACAGCATTGTTTCATTTAAAATTTTGCTTGTGTGTGATGGGCCGAACATATGCACGCCCATGGAGTGCTCATTTAAATGGACAGTCGTACCAATTGCTAACTGTACGAGCTGCTCGCTATACTTATGCCATCTGGGACTCAGCTTTCTTCTGTGACTCAGCGAGAATGTGTTGAGCGCAGCCGCCATACCCTGATAGCGGCTTTGACTGGCGAACGAAAGCAGAGGATGTTAACCGACCTAGCCCTCCAGGGCCAGTCTGTGTGATAACGTGTTTTTGCGTTATGATAGAAGTACCGATAGTGTCATGACATGCGTCGGGGATGAATTATTCCAGGTTAGCCACTGTCTTGACTTAGTCATGCACTGCACTTGTCGGGTGTGGAAAGAGGGCTGAGTGTCGCGAAAATCTTCCTCACTATAATCGAGCTCACGCACAAGTTATCAAAGCCAGCGGTAGTGGTTATCGTAGTCGGATACGATGGATGAAATAGCACGTAATAAACAGATGTTTGTGGATACCTTTGTAGCTGCAAACTCACGACAGACTGAGAGTCTAAAAATTATGCTGCATCGTGGTCATTGAACGTAATTAAATGCTGTCATTCGAAGAGCTCCTTTAAGGCGGCAAACTCACGAAAGGCCGAGGGTCTAGACAAATATGCAACATAGTGATCAGTGACCGTAATTAAATGCTGTCAGTGGAAGAGCTCCTTAATACCACCTTCCTACTATAATTCAAGATGGCGGGAGTGGACAGCACAGATTGTCGTGGCCTAAGAACAGAGACGCTCAGGAAGGCGACGAACACGACGCAAGTACTGCCTCAACAGTAACCACCCAGTAGACGAAGATGCGATCACTGGAACAAGAAATTTATTGGCCTGACGTTTCGGATTCTCACTCGAATCCATCATCAGAGACATTCGCAGATAAAGGTGATGGTGGCACAAGGAGTGCAGTATTTAGAGCGCGTGGCTGCCCTGTGACCGTATGCGCACTGTAATTAACAGCTCTCGCAATCACCGCTGGGGTCGTAGTTGATGCGGTGGTGGCTTGTCAGTCCGAGCCGTTAATGGCCGTGATTTTGCCACCCGTACTGGATGCTGGTGTGACGATTGCTCGGCAAATTGGCTCACTGTCAATGGGACAATTGATCGCCCGCGTCCTCCCCCTGTGACTGATTCCCATCCCAGGGAAAATCTCAGCACGGAATATGGTACCGGGAGATCATTGTGCTTGTTGATGGATTGCGGGCCTGAGAACCATGACTCGAGCAGCCCGCGGCTCACTCGGTTGTCACCCCTTGCGAGGATTTCGGCCTCTTGAAATTTGAAAATATGGCTGGGTCCCGTCGAGTGTGCCGCCACCTAAGAGCTAGCGTCTCCCCGCCTCACCGCTGCCGCGTGCTCGGCAATCTCCCAGTTTCTCTGACGTAGTTGCTTTGTCCACAACTACACCAGATCCGGTAAACGACTTCAGTCGTTTCCTGCCGTGGCAGCGGGTCTTTTGGCCTCATTACTTGGCGCCTAATGGTTGCTTCCGGCCTGTGTGCAACCCCAACTCCAAGTGGAGTGAGAAGACGACTAACGGCTTCCGAGACGTTCTTCACGTACGGAAGAGCCCGCCAAAATTTGCGGCCTGTTGGATTTGGTATCTGGGGTCCTTTTTGTATGCACTGGTTGACAAAGTTGCGCGGGCAACCATTAGCTCTCATTACCCGTCGAAGATATTGTAATTCAGCAACCTTGTCTTCCATTTCACTGCAGTGCGTCTCAACGCGCCGTTATAACGCCCTTACGCAACTGCGTTTGTGACCGATCGGGTGGTTGCTATTTAAGTTCAGTATTTGCGCCGTATTTGTCGCTTTCCTGAACACTTTGGTTTTTAGGCCACCACAATCTTTGCGGCATACGAGGACATCCAGGAAGGCCAGTTGCTTGTTTTACTCCTCCTTCATCGTGAATTGAATGTCCGGGAAGACGGCGTTGAGATGTTCTTTGAATGTCATCACCTGATCCCGTTCTATGACGACGAAGGTGTCATCCACATACCGAGTCCAGAATTTCGGTCTGTGGTGTCGGAAAACCAGTGACTTCAGCCGTTGTAGGACCGCCTCGGCTATGAGTCCCGAAATCGGCGAACCCAGTGGCGTTTCCTTCACCTGCTCGTAGATTGTTCCGTCGAACGTAAAGTACGTCTTGAGACAGAACTTCAGGAGCTGGATGATTTGGGCGTGTCCGAGGCGATTCTCCGTTTCGCCGTATTCCTCTCATAGAGGTAGTTCGAGGGTCTCGACTACCAGGTCCAGCGAGATAGAAGTAAAAAGGGACTTGACATCAAAGTAAACCATGACATCGCTTGGAAGGAGACTTACTCCTTTAAGTTTCTCTAAGAATTGCGTTGACGAGCTGACTGTGGTGTTCGAATCGGAGGTCAGAATCTTGAGACGTTGGAACAGCCACTTTGCCAGTCCGTAGGTTGGAGTGCCCTTTAGTGATACAATAGGCCGGAGAGGAGCGCCCTATTTGTGTACTTTTGGGAGACCGTAGAATCGTGCTAGGGCCGTTTCTTAGGCTCTTGCCATGCGTCGGTCGAGTGGTGATAATGCACCTGAGTTTTCCATTTCCAACAGCGTCGCGTTAATCTCGCGTGTCAGCGTTTTTATGGGATTGGATTCGCATGGGACTATGTCCCATGATCCTCCAACAAGCTACTGGCTTTTGATTGTAGTCTATCCTGTCCAATACGACCGTTGAACGCCCCTTGTCCGCAAACACGATAACGAGGTCGTTGTCGGCCCTGAGTTCCTTAAGTGCATCGCGCTCGACCTTGGAAAGCACGTCGCGCGGCCTATGAGCCATGAGGATGGAGGACACTTGGTGTCGAATAAGGTTCTTCGTTTCGTCTGTCGCTCCCGTCTGGCTGAGGATTGATTCCACTGCTGCGATCATGTTGACAGGTTTGGCATCGGCTGTGTTGAATGAGGCCTCATGCCGTAAAACCTGCATTTCTTCCTCCGTCAGCTCCCTTGACGACAATTTGTGCACCAGTTTGTCGTTCTTGGATGACATTGGAACAGGCAGCTTACGAAATTCGCTCTCTAAGGCTGCTTCGCGTGTTGCTTTATGTTCGCGGGTTCGTTCGGCCAGCCTCTGCTGAAGCAGTTTTGTGCCGTCTTCGCCCATGAACTCGCAGCACCTTGATTTCTCTTGGTCAATCCTCTGACGGAATTTGCGAATCCGTGAGTGACAGTCTTGAAGGAGCGCTCGGATCATTCGTCGGCCGTGCTGAAGTACTGCGCGTCTCACCAGCTCTCCGTTCGCTTCTATCAGTAACCACCCAATCAGATTTCCGATCGTTTCTGGCTTTCCTGTCGTTCTTCTCCGGTAGACCGCGCTTCAATGAGAGTAGTGAGAGCAGTGAGTATTTTATTTGTTTTGTCAGTCAGATTACGAGATACTATTGGTATCTCTGACCGGTTCCTGTCTCAGCACGTCTGTCGTCGCCCAGCTGTTATCAGACTTACCTACTCTAACGAATAACATTAATAGTTCGGAGAAAACTCGAGTCACCGTCTTGCTCCTTTGCCTTGTTTAGTTTTTTGACCGAGAAATCCAGCGAAACTGCCGGGGTGCTCCTATCCAGTTTGTGTGAAATGGCCCAGACCTTCTACCATATCGAATACACAAAATTCCAGAACTTCGTATGCCTAGGAAGTATGCCGCGTACACTTTGCGGGCGGCATTTAGTCATGAAAAAGTATCCGAAAGTGTATGACCATCATTCTGCACAGACAAGCCTAATTAGTGAAACCGCAAAAATGACAGCCACCTTGGGAGCCTTCCCAGACCAACGTCCCCCTAAGTCACCATAGGCATTTGTGCGTCCCCCAAAGAGGGAACGAGGCTTTGACCTACCGCAGTGAAGTCTGTGCGGACGGTCCATCCGCAGCAGGAGTAACGTCAAATCCAGAATAGGTGCACAGTTGGCCTAAATTAACGCCGATGTGGGTTTGGCTGGACAGTACAAGGCCTAGTAGGGTCTTTTTGTGGTCAGGAACGTTAAACGCAAGGCAGTCACAAACTTTCCAGAAGTGCTCGTAGTGGTAAGTCATGGGTCCTTAAGACGGGCTGTTAATTAGTCCCAACAACCTCGTCGGCTAAATGTCCTTTACGCAGCCGGCTGACCCCGAGACCTGGATAATGTCTGACTTAAGAGACCACATAACGTTCATAAGGAAGGGCCTTTTGAAGTGGAAAGTCTCCCCCGTAGGGCAGAGAACAGCCATACAAGCGGGAGGAACCCACAGAATGAGATCGAGTGATACCGTCGGGACGTTGTATTCTCATGCAACAGCCTTCAAGACGACGCAACATGGCACGTGCCAGGCACTTCCAAGCAGTCCTTTATTACGATCCCGCGTGAGGCACTTAAGTAGGTTTTAAATGAGCTGGACACTAGGGGCGGTACAAATCTCCCAGGATTGTTACTGAATACAATAGCTGGAGACCACTCATACCTCCCGCTGAGAGGGGGGTGGGGGTGCGGAGGAAGGGCTACGCCAGTCAACCTTTCCGTCAGTGGAATTCCCCAACGTGCGGAACAGTCTCAGGAAAAGCGAAAACAGAGTCAGATGTCTAGACAACCGAGCACTCAGGTGGGTTCGTCGTCGATCTCACGTCGGTGTAACATGCCAATCCGAGATGATTATCCAGCCCCTCGCTCGAAGGAACATAACCATAAATCCCACAGGGGTATCACCCGCCGGCCAGACCGCTGGGGGCTTACGTCCCCCGGCCAAGAAGGAGCCTTTGGTAATCAATTCAGGATGCACGAGTCTGGCGATGGCGTCATACAACTACATGCTGCCCGGATGCCACCGCTCTATACCTCAACGCTGAGACCCGAAGCAGAAAGCTCGTTTAGGAATACTATCACTGTTTAGGAAGTCTTACTGAGAAAACTACCGACACTTGCGGCTGGACGGAATGCTGCAGAAGACAGGCGGAGAGCTAACCATGAAAGACAAAACGCCTCCGTTATCTGAATGGACCATCATAATGCTTTAACGATGGCCAGCACCAAGCGGCGCGGCGCAAATAGCCAGTGGTTACCGTCAGGAAAGTCACAAGTGTTGAACGTGTGCGGGGATCTTCTACTGCAACGCCCGCTATGCTTTTTGATGCTTGCAGGTCTTCTATGCCTAACCGGTCAAAAGTAGCGCATTTTCAGTAATTTGGGTGAGCAAATTTTAGATATCTAGATTACAGTGGGTCGTTGATCGATTCGCAAGGTCTAGAGCGACCATACAGACAAAATCTGTACGACAGTCCGACACATATCCGACTGACGGCTGTAAATTTTACATGTAGTGGAGTCCAGTTAATAGCAACCTGTTTGGTCGGAGTATTTCGACCCCGAAAGGTGGCTGTTCCCAGTATCTTAGGGTCTAGGAAGTAAGGACAACGTCGACGATACGTGGTCAGTCGGCAGGTCGAAATCACAGATCGTAGGGACTTGGGCTTAGAACGATTTGTGTAGTATAAAGTGTACGCTCAGAATTTGAACATCATACTGTAATCCTGTGAGACGAACAATTACCCGTTGCCCTGAAATTCTCACGGCCCATACATTTGCCCAGGTATGTTGACATAATTACCACTGCAGTCAGACTGACCCGGAGCCTCATCCAGTTACAATGAAAAACCATCAGCTGAGGACCTGCCCAATGTGTGGTGCACCTCCCCTCACCTCCAGTTTCCGCGTTCGAGGTGTTTCCAGTTGCTCTTCGGCAGTGCTTATTTCGCCCGCAGTTCGTCTTACTATTGTGTCACACACTATTGTGTCCTTACCAGTTAGCGATGAACAGTGCTCTTTTTTCGGCTTTTTATTCGACCAGGGAGAAAAGCTCCCTGGCTTGTGTGAGGCACTTCCTTAGTGCATATGTCATGAGAGAACGCGTTGCGTAACTGCGCGACTCAGCAAAGTGGGATATTAGACGGCATACCATGCCTTGTCATGGCGTTAGCCTACTCGCATCTCAACAAAATCAGGCTGATAATACAGCTGAAAAATCATAAATGTTAACTTCCATCAAGCCACATGGAGTCTACTTACTTCGAAGGCAAATGTGGCACATAATACAGCCTATTACTAACTGGATAGCATGGATTAGTTGAAGCGTGAAAACTGCAGAGTCATAAGTCTCATCAGCATTGCCTCTAGAGTCTTTGTCATGTTTATTCTCAGATGGTTTCGGGGCGTGCGTGATGCTGGGGCGAGAACCGCCTAATCCGTGTTTCCAACTAGACATTGGTCTACAGCCTAAATACTCACACTGAAGCACACGCCTTGACTGAGTCATGAGCACAAGGAACTTACGGCCGTCCACTTTACTGATTTTTTTGCGGCGCATGACTTGTTTCATGGTGAATACTGAAGTTAGAGAGCATGCCGGTAAGTCATCGCTATGATCAATGTCTGCTTTGACTCCACTACTGCGTAAGTCACAGTCCACAAAAATCTCTTCCTGCACCGTTTGGGGCGAAACCAGTTTGGTAACCAACCACCTGTATTCCCCCTATCAGCTGTGGGGGGTGAAGTGGTCCTAGGCTTTTTAAACTTGCATCAGGACGTCAGCTAACCAATTTCGAAAACGCTGATGATATCGGTTCAACAGAGTCAGTGTATATTGAACCAAAAAATGTAGCGTCCCGGGTGAACGGTCGCCCAGTTACTCGGTCTATCCATCAACGCTAAGAAAAGCAAAGGCTTTTTGACCCGCATTTCTGAACAACAGACGGTATCCCCGTGTCAAATGACTGCCAACTTGAAGAAGTAGATTGTTTTGGATATCTGGAGGCTGAGTTGCAGCCAAACAGGCAAAACGCGGATAAATTCGTACAGATCGATAGCAATCACAGAGTTTTTGCAAACTTTCGAAAAGTAATTGTTAACCCACCGCGACTTAATCAACCGCAACAAAGGGCCGCGTGTACAGGGTATCCCTCTAGTCAAGTGCTGGATCCTAGGCGTGGGAAATTAAAATTAGGGGTTTCGAGTACCGTCAGGTAAGAACCATGCATCAGATTAAGTATGCTGCCTTTGCTTCGAAATAGACAGTCTGTATTCGCCGCGGCATCACGCGGATATTCGCAGGCCATCAAAAAGTACGACTGAGATTGTTTTGACCTGTCCTCCGTCGTCAGCTCAGTAAGTTCAATGCTTCTGCCCCAAATCCGGCTCCGCCGTTTAAATGGTAGCAGCACCGAGGTAAACTGAAAATCCGGCTCGACACAATCCGTTGAGACATGGGTGTGGCCCTTGGACGTACGGCATCTGGATTTCACGGCTAGAGAAGTGTAGATCGGCTTTGACTTCGACGTCCCTGATAGTCACGAATGAATAAGTACTATCCCCGACACCTTGGGGGTCAAACTAATCAAGTATGATCAAGCGCAGAAACGGAAGGACAAGTATGGAGGTGACTCCAACCTCACAGATTGGGCAATGATTGATATTTTAAAGTCATCTGCGCATCTCCTCCAACTGTTTCAGCATGTAACTAATGCGATCCTTCATTATTGGCTGACCCTTTTTAGTCAGCTTCCGCATGACCTTGTTCCTTTCGGTCCTCTTCTCTTCTCGAGCTTTCCTTTTAGCTTCAATCAGCAATTTCTTCTCCTTCTTAGCCTAGAAGAAATTATAGTCGTTGGCACCGAAATTAAGGGATACCAGTTCGTGCTGTTGTTGAACCTGCATTAACTTTTTGAATTCTGTCTTGCGACGACTGGGAGTGGGAGCCATGCTCACCCTGCGCCAGGTGTTTCCTTTTGGGTTCAAAAATAGTAGCACTTACTTGACCGTCTGCTTTAACCGCTTTGAATTCCTTCGATCCGCCGGTCTCTTGCCTGCTGGCTGCGTTCCGCGGCCCATATCTACAAGGGCATGACCGTCAATTTCATGTAGCAGCAGGGGGAGGAGGGGGATGATGATGATGATGATGATGATGATGATGATGATGATGATGATGATGATGATGATGATGATGATGATGATGATGATGATGATGATGATGATGATGATGATGATGATGATGATGATGATGATGATGATGATGATGATGATGATGATGGCGATGATGATGATGATGAACACGCCTGTGGTGGCGGTGGTGGCAACGACGACAGCGGTCGTGGTAGTTTTGATATTGGGTTATGGTAGGAGGACTGGCAAATAGAGAAATAAATACGTTGCGTCCAAATCGGCTACCAACCATACTGGCTAATTTGACCCTTTTGAAGCAGTTTTTATTATCCACATTGAACGAATTTTGATGCCCCAAATAATCCAATGAAGATAGAAATTTAACGGGTGTGTTGACCAACGCAGATGTAAGACCTAGCGCTACTAATAATGAACGGCACTGACAGAAGCGAGGAGGCGAGTTCCGGAAAACGGTTTAAAAGAAGGCACTGTGACAATTATGCCCAAAAGGCAACGACCATCGATGAGAACGCAATACATCGGCCTAAGTACCAGTGTAGAGTATAAAGTCACAGTGTGCTGAGGGAGGCCGTAAAAGACCAATTACGGAAGTTTGTGGGACGTGATCAACGGAAGCCATCTTCATCGAGGTGGGTAGGTATGACGTGAGCATGCATGGATCACAAAGCAGATTCGTGCAGCGCCTACTTTACGCTTTTTTCCCTCACCTATCGTAATTTTGCATGAATGCAAAATCAAGAAGGCTGCAGATCGGTTGGGACGTGTGACTGACCTGTCAATAAAGTCCCGTCTACGCCTATCACAATACGTCCTCCGGACCCAACCAGACTGTACGCGCACACAACTTTACCTGGTGAGGAGGTACCATGGCCGCCCTCACCTGGTCCCCCCCCCCTCCTCACACAAGTCCAGGAAGGTTGCGGAGAAGGCTTATACCGCGAAAGTTTAAGAACCGAAAGATCAGCACGTGGTTTCTCGCGAAATTTTGCAGCTACACAGATGCTGGGTGATGAGAGTGATCTTAGGGGTCAGGAGCAGTTAGAATGCTGGGTTCGCTGAAGCTCTCATTTAAATGCGCGGAAATAGGCGCACACTGACCCATTAGCTTCCCGCAGCAAACAAGCCCCAGGTGGGTGGCAGGAGTCACGAACAGGGACCAGAGACCACACAGAGCTCGGCCAAGATTTCCTAATAGAAGGTACCATCAGAGAATGGGGCGAAACGATTAAACGCTTTTCCAGACTTATTAGACCTTTATTCAGGCGATCATAACCCTGACTACTATCTTGGACCGTAACGATAGATCGATCGTCGCAAGCGATCGTCCCACTAAATGGGCGCAGTCATGACCTGAGGGCGAACCTGTCTATAACGAAGACTTCCGATGCATCTAACTCACCCTCTCTTCACACACCCGCCACGCTCCAATGGTAAGCTAAAGTCGAGACAAAAGGAAGAGTACATGAGCTCGACGGCCGACAAAGCTACACTTCCTGTCAAGCATGCAACACGTGACCTGCTCCCACCCTCGACAGATACTATGGCTCGTCCAGGGGTGAGTTCCCGTATACTACATAGGTTAGGATGCGGTATAAGTCATACCAAGGATGCACTGCACCCTGATCGCAGTCCTGAGTGGAACCGAGTTATCCCTTCATGTGACGGGAAGACGGGGTTGCGCGTTACCTTAGCTGCTGGGAACCCGGTGCGTCCACAGGTGGCCTTCAGTTGCAGATGTTAATTGGACGACTCCCTCGCCGCGACCTGCTGATTGTCGCGGGGGATTAAAATGGTCAGACTGAGACTGACGACCCCACAGTCATGTTCTTGGTCGCTTTGGGCTTGGTTTAGGGTGTGGAAATGGTAAGATGGCTGAACTTCGCTGATCAGAACCGACTTCTTGTCACCAACATGTGTTTCCAGCATCGCAAGAAACATCTACTGACCCGGCATTCAAACAACGGTCATACGGTAAGCCAGACTTACTACATACTAGTCAGCTCAAGGTTTCGCAGTTGGGTTCATGGGAGCAGATCGATGCGTGGTGACGAGACTGGCAACGCCCATGGGTCGGACCATGTCCTCGTTCGTACATGCTTGAAAGTTCATCTCTCATCCGCACCAAAAAAGCCACGTCCTAGACGCCTCTATGTCGCAAAAATCCGACAAGCCAGCACTGCCGAGGCCCCGAGAGGAGAAATCCGGGCCTGTTTTACGGCCCGAGTCGACGGAGAGGGCAGAAACCAGTGGTCGTCACGGAAAACGTCAGTCTACAGTGCAGATAAGAAACTCTTTGGATATACCTAGCGACGTCGCAGTGACTGGCTCAGCTGAAGAATCCTGCAGTTGTCTGCTCAGACGGCTCGAATCAGGTCCCGTAATTATGTCTTGTGTCGACACTGGCGCCCTGGCTCCATGTGGTGATAAGACAAGCGCGAGGAACAAGGATGCTCCTGATGACTAGAGCTTGGGCATCCTTGTACCTATCCCCAAGAAGGGAGATAAGACGAGATGCGAGAACTACCGCGGCATAGGCCTCATCGACGTTGTTGTGAAGATCTTCCCTATTGTTCTACTCCGGCAATTCCAAGCTGTGCGTGACTACATGACGAGGCCCAACCAAGCCGAATTTCGTGCTGGACGTGGATGCGCCGACATGGTATTCACACTAAGGAGAATTCTCAAATTTCGCTATGGTTATCAGCAACCGACAGCCATCCCCTTTGTTTGCCGCCGCGTCCGATCCCCTCCATCGTGATTCCTATGGTGGATAATGGCGCTTGGTGGTGTACCGCAAAAAATCATCGTCATGATCAAGGCCTATTAGCGCTCCAACACCGCGCGAGTCCTGGTCCACAACAATCTTTCCTAACCGTTTGGTATTCAGTCTGGCATTTGGCAGGGTTGTATCCTGTCGCCTATTCTGTTCAACTACGCTATTGACTGGATTCTAGGAAGGGCCCTACACGAAGGCGACGGTGTCGAATTAGCACCCGGACACCGCCTGACTGATCTCAAGTATGCCGATGATATTGCCTTACTTTCTTCAAGTTTTGGTGGTCTGCAGTCTATGGTGTCACGGGTGAACGAGATCGCTAGATCGGTCGGTTTATCCATAAACGCTAAGAAGACTAAAGTGTTTTCAAGCTGCATCCCTGGCCAGGATAAGGCACCTCTCGGGATGTATGGCTGTCAACTTTAAGAAGTAGACAGTTTTAAATACCTCGGGGCGAAGATGCATCCGAATGGCCAGAGTAAGGATGACAGTGCCTCCCGAATTGATGCTGCCCGACGGAATTTCTCAAGCCTTACAAAATGCCTATGGATCCGACGCGACCTCTCCATCGCCACTAAGATTCGCGTGTACTGTGCGTCTGTCCGATCTGTCCTTCTTTATGGTTGTGAATGCTGGGCTGTGCACTTGGACGAGCGAAAAATGGAGGTACTTGACCGCCACTTCTTGAGGACCATCCTTCGAGTGAAGTACACCGACTTCGTCTCAAACGAGACAGTCCGCGGTCGCTGCGACAACATCGCAAGGATAACCCAGGACATCCTAGAAAGACGACTGAGGTGGTTTGGGTATGTTCTTCGTCGTCCACCTCAGGAATTCAGTGTTACTGCCCTCGACCCGGCACCGTTACCCCATTCGAGGCGCCAGAGAACGGATCAATTCAAAACCTGGCTCGACACAGTTCGTCAAGACATGGAAGTGGTTTTTGGACCTTCGGTATTCGGTCTTCGTCGTTGGCGAAGACAATGGGCTGAACTGTCCATATCTGCTGTCGTGGATCGTCACGCGTGGAGAGGTACAGTTCGGGACATCATCGAGGCCGGCTAGATCAGGCATGATAGCAGCCGTGCCGAGTACAAGTAAAAGTGAGCACAAGTACAATCTTTCAAGCAATTATATGTCGCGTCGTGTTAGATTCAGGCAGTTTGTAGGGATTGCGGTAAGGGATGCGCTGATTCCCCAAGATGGACTTCTCTGTATCGATTTCATTACCCTTTCCCTTTCCTATGTATTATGTCCGAGTCTCTTAGCCAACTGGTTATGAGATTGGGCGGAATTTCTGACGGGACGTCTTCCTTCGTCTAAGGTGGGTCAAACACACTTGCGGTGGAAACTAAAAACTCATGCAGACTCAGGGCAGCTAAATGAACGCGCGCCTTGAGTTAATTTGGCTCCTGTGCTGTATCATTGCACCTGATGCGCGAAGACCAAAAGCATGGACATTCACACAAACATTTACCGAACTGATGGCCTGCAGACGGTCTAGGAACCAAAGTAGAGACTGGAGTTAAAAAAAACCGCTGTACTTATAATGGCAAAATCTGCAGGTCAGGAAGTGGTAGCAAACAGAAAGTATATGACAAACAGGCACAAGTTATAGGGTAATCCTTATATTTTCGGGGATCATGGCATCCTGAATATCTTGCTCTGTTTCCAGTAAGCCATCAACTTGAATAAGTTGATATGATCTGCTCTTTAATTTACTGACATCCACTCGCATAGCTCCTATCACTCGACTCCAAGTGGGAGACGAAGCGCCCCCTGAAAGTATCGAAGTCGACCGGTTTTGCCGTGTTCGTTCATTTATAAGCATCTGTTTTAATGATCGCATTGACGCAGCGGAGGTATTCGGATCGAGTAACATAAGAGCAGTCGGTTGGTCGGAACCGTCTGCTTCGACGCCAATTACAACTAGGCTGTGACCTTCATATTGAAGATATACTGGTAGAGTCTGGATGGTCGAAGCACTTGATGATCGTGAGGTAACGGATGCAAGTTTGAAATAATCTAAGAGGTGTTTCGCGAGATTTTTGTGATATCCGTTCGTTTGGTGCGACTCCGGACAGTCCACAATGCAGCATTTCACGCCGATATAGCCTAGAAGAGCAGCTACATCCGTCGCGCCCAGCCAAACTGTGCTATCCCACAATCCGATTCGCGACAAGTCGGACGTGCTGCTGGATGTAGCTTGGGCTTGTGTATTCGCAAAAGACAAGATGTCTGCTATCTGACTGCGGCCCACTGGATCGAAGCCACTTTGCCATGCCGATTCCAGTAGGGTTTGTAACTTCCAAATGGAGGGCATCGCTGATATGGGACCGAAGAGACGTTCTCGGTAAGCAGGCAAACGGAACAAAGCGGAAAGGACGATTTGGGTGTTCCGATATGAACAAGCAAATGTGCGCTCCCATTCTTCAGAAGCAAAGTGATCACAATCGACAGACGCAAAGTACCAGCGTCCAGTGAGTAGACTTTCGTCGTGAAAACTTTTGACCGTGCTCAGTACCCCATCAGTTTTCGTTGCAGCAGAGTCTATTCCAAGTCGAATCGCTTCATGTAACTGATGACTTCTTTCGTGATATTCGACAAGAGAGAATCTACCTTTGGTAAAATTGCTTTCAAGCCACGCCTGGGCGAGGGCTCGGGCCGACTGTGGTAGTGGAGCCCTGTGCTTAGTCATCATTCAAAAGAATGACAAATTCGTCTTTGCCGACGGTCGGCAGCGAATGAGATATAAAGGAGACGATATTACATCGCACCAAAAAACGAGCAGCACACCTGTTCACGACGCCGCGCTAGCGTAACTGCGGACACAGTTTGAAATTGCTGCAAGTGTGGCTAAGGTTCAGGAGTTTTTCGGGAACTCGAAAAGACACCTCGAACTCCTAAATGGTTTGTCAAGTCATGCAGTTGGCAGACCCACAGACAGTAAACAGTACAAGACTAAATATGGCCGTGGTTGCTAACGAAGGCTGAAAAACAGCAACGCCTTGTAGTAAATCGAAAAAAACTAAAAAGAACGACACAAAGGACAACGCATGGATTCCGCAAAGGGGGGTCTTGTGTGATATACCTGCTCTACTGGTTCGAACGCTGGACTCAAATATTTGATGGATGAAGGACGCACGCGCAGCCTAAATCAACTTTAAGAGGTCATTCATTCTGGAAAGTAAGGAAGCCCGTTGTTTCCTCGATCGTTGTTTCTGTGATCCCTTCGTATCACTTCACTTTAGTGTTCTTAGGTCGCAACGGAAGTGGAAATGGTTGAGTCTTCTTGCTTGACTTCTAATAAAAGTTCAAGTACAAAGGCGTCCTCAGGACAGCGGCCCTGTGGCTCCTGTTTTCTTAGTGGGATTTCGCGACGGCCCAGACCGAGTTCTTTGGCCGGCTGAAGGTCTGCTTTTCTTTAGTGATTCGACTTGCAATTCCGTAGTCTGTCTCGACGTTTCTTAATATTGTTCTTCCAGGTGCACAAAAGTTTCCATTACTGTGAGGTTATATCCACTGGCGGTTAGTGCCTAGCCATCGAGTTCTCTGTGTTCGTAGTCATACGGATCGAATATGTCCACACTTCGTCTCATGTCCTGCGCCGCTCGAGCGATCGGCGCGCAGTCACCGGCCAAGAGTAGGTCATGAACGCTGATCTGGATGCTCTCGTATATGCTTCTAGGGGACAGATATTAAGCAGTTTTCCGTCGGTTCGGAAGTTGATGTGGATTCCTGGTTGATATTTGCGGTAAGCACCCATCCGCATGATGGAAAATGAGACTGAATAAAGTAGGAGCGAGCACACAGCCCTGGTTTACCCCATTTGTCACTTAGATTGCGGCGGTGACTAGCCCATAGTCCATGATGCGTGCCCCTCATTTCATTGTGGATTTGTCCTAACATTTGAGTGAATCACTGTGGAAACTAAAATTTGAGCATGATTTATCAGACTCCATCGGTACTGATTGTAGAACCCTTTTAAAATCTACGTAGTTGGTTTAGGGGTTGTTCTATAGCCCTTGACACTTTCCTTGTTGATGACGCGCTACGTATATAGCATCTGACGTTTCTTGTCGTTTTTGGAATCCTCACTGCCCTTCTAGATTACGTTCCTTTTGCAGGTGCGTGTAAGGGCGATTAACTAGGACAGGAGAACAGCACGTCACGCCTTACGCTCTCCCGAATGGACGCTTTGCTCGGACATATAAGCATAATTCAAGGTAACCGGCCTGTGTACAGAATAAAAAAATTCTCACAGCTCTTCGACTTCTGACATTAGACGAAACGAGTTTGATATATGTGGCTCAAGCTAATCTCACAGCCTTGGCCCCACACCTTTTCCTTAACACTTTTTGTTTGCTGGTGATGAGGGAGGGTGGAAATCATTTACTAGGCTGACGGATGTGATAAGACGCACAAGCCGGATACCTTCATCTGGTTTACTACTCCCGTCCGTCACGGCAACCACAGTGTGGCCGCCGTGTTGAGCCTTTCTTCCTGGAGTCACAGTTGAGAGGTTAGTACTCTGAGGGGGCGAATCAGAAGTGTTCACCGTCTCTATAGATGCGTTCGGTGGCAGCTGTTAGCGTATTACTTATAGGGAGTTGTTGTCGCCCTAGTCATCCCTCGCTATCAGGTCTATTGGGTGTCTCCTATCTTGCATCTCCTTGCATTGTCACTGCGAGGGACGCCATTTCAATTTAGACCACCGGGACTTTAAGACGTCGTTATCAAATTACCGTTTACGCTTACATTTGCTTCTCTTGTGTGTGGTATCGCTTTCGGGGATCCCTCACCCTTAATGTTAATTTTGTCGATTTTTCAGTTCATGCATCGTGCCACCCACAGAATTCGCTACACTTAATAGCAAATCCTCTCAAAAAATAGTTCGGCTAGTTTGATGTACACACTTTAATCTGTCTCATTTTCGCTGATCGCCGAGACTCATCAGGATATAAATAAATAAATAATTTTTTTTAAAGACCCGTCAGGGTCTCATCAAAGCAAGTAAAAATAAATTTACATACGAATTTTAGACACGAAAATGCGGGCAGGTATATATAGGATTGTCATCGGATATCGCCAGGGCAGAAATAAATGTCAGCCTTGATTATGATCGGGTGGTATATAACGGATTATAATCGAATATCGTCAGGGCCGAATTCCACCCTGGCCCCCACGATTTCGGATCCTCACCCCCCAATCGTTTAATTTTGCGGTTCTTGAGGTCATATCGTCATTTTGGACCCCAATCGGTCTCTCGACGCTCTTGGCGGGGCCCTCTGTATTCGTCATCGACTAGTCGTCTGGTCGCATCTCCCTTGCCCTCTCCTTGGCTGGACTCGAAGAGGACTGTGGCCGATCGCGTCTGGGTTACTCTCGTCTCGCCACCCTGTCGTGAATGGCAAAACATCCGACATATGAATTCTGCCTTGATTATGTCCCTTTCGAACCTTTTACTCAATGCCGCATGCAGGCAAGTCCTGTCTGACCCGCATACTTACACCTTCATGAAATCCAATATACACTGCCACATGAAGGTCGGTCCTGCCCTCTTCTTATCCTTTCAAGGGCGACACTTCCTTTCTCTTACAATGTTTACCTAGTCTTTTTTTATTTTTTATTTTTTAGAAGTTTTTTTCACTGCCCGCTCATTATACTTCGTAACAGAATACTTATTCAATATCAATGAATTAAGTATTCTACAAATTCTGTCTACCTGTTCTAAAATTCCTCTACAAATTTATTCTAATTTGCTATGACCGGACCCCCACCGGTCTTGAATAAAAATTACTTATGTTATCTAATTATTTATTTGTATACTGGCCAAGGTAATGTGTAAATTTCAGTCAAATACATCGACAAACCTGGTGGGACAGTACAACTACATCGGGAGTCCCTGCCCACGGCAAAGGGTACACGCCGTAACTCTCAGCACATAACTGCATAAGGGCATTCTTATGAACTATGGGAAACCAAATGGCATAGTGTCTTGTTTCATTAATAGACGGCTGTGCACATCGTCCCAAGCAATTTAAAAAGTCGAGTTTATTTATTATTTCCGAATATTTTCTTATTGCAGCGCATATGTAATAGTTCGAACTTTCTGGCTTGTGTTCTCTGTTTTTATTTATTCAGACGCGAATTTTGTTATGTATTTTCCCAAACCATTTCATCGAAGTCGGAGTAATTGGAAAGAAAAGTATATTCACAGCATTCATACTGGACTAACCAAGTGCGACACCAAATTTAGTCTGCAGACCAACAATTAATCCCCTTGAAGGAGGAAAACTTACAGAAGATCTCCTAATTCATGAAATGGGCTAAAATTATTAATGATTGTTAATCACTCGCAAAACGACACCTTCTCAATGGCCCAATATCTATGTTAATAAGCAATCTTTAAGGGAATTAACCACAGTGGAAGCAGATGGGAAGTCAATAACTGTCAATAGGTGAGAACGATAGCGAGTTGCAAAACGCCTGAGAACAGATTGACCTTCTACGGTAATGTGATCTACGCTGCTGCTCTTTATTGTACTCGCAGTTGGCATGGAGCAAACGAAAACGCATAAAACCAGTGGATTAATTAAAAAGCATATCGGTTCGTAAAATTCAAGAAAACTGGACAAAAGAAAATGAAGCGAAAGCAATCATGAAAAATTGATGGAATTTTACTTTGAAAAGACAATCTGCCAACATCTCACACGCCGTGTATCTTAGAAAACATGAAAGACACACGGTTATATTAATTTGACCAAGTGTAGTCTGGAGGAAACATGGTGTCCGCCAAATATCTGGCTATTTGAAAATGAGCCTCTATGGGTAGAAGAACTCTTTCGAACGGAAGATCAGTTGTAGAAAAGAATTATGTACTGGAAGAGAGCTCTGCACTTTGCTATAACTTGTCTAAGTCTGTATCAGTATGAGCGGGAAAGACAGCTTACGAATGAGGTATTGTGAACACGAGGTGAGAAGTGCAAGAAAATCTAAATAAAACAAAAGATGCGTACTGATGGCCGAATTATTTATTCAGGAAAAATGTATTCTGATTAAGTTTTTAATATCGCCCACACTGATTTTAAGGGCTAGATCTTGCGGAGTCCTTTTTGATTCCTGAGGAATTTATTTTTTGGCCATATATCAAGGTGTAGGTCGAGGTGAAAACAAAGCATATAAATTATTAAACTTAATGGAATCCCTATGGGATCTCACCTCTAGTGAATTTTTGGATAATTATCGTCAACTATACACTCTGTCTTTGTTTTACGACAGTGAAAAATTATTAAAGATTTCACTGTTTACGCCGCTCATTTTCAAAAACTTGCTAGTGCATGATTCCTGGGAATCAGCTCTGCGGATATCTTATTCAGTATGAACGAGTCGGTGGCAGGTTGAAGGAAGCGAAACGATGGGCTAAACTTTCAGGACCGAATTTAGATATTTTCGCAGGTAATTTGATTCGAGTAGTTCATATCTAACATAACAGATAAGGATAAACCCGGCATTTGCTTCAAAATTATAGTTCATGGAGCCCAAGTTGACTTCTACAGGGAGAGTTCTGGCTGGGAACCTTGGATATCTGTATTGAGTGGTCATAACACTGAATCACTTAGATTACTGAGGAATCAGGTGCTGTTTATTATTTCAAGCCAGAAAATTCCGACGACTACGACTTATGGTGCAGTTGCTTAA